ATACTAAACATTTAGGTCCTATATATATATATATATATATATTTTAATGTCAAAATCAAAAGAAGTAAAGAAACAAAGTAAAGTTTCTTATATCAACTCCTTTTAATTTAATCTATTAGCCACTCTAACACACATCTAGATTTATCAACATATAATATGTTTTAGCTAATTTTTACATACTGTAAGCATTTACACTACGACAATGTAGCTTCTAGTTAGATAATATATAGAGAGACAAGAGTGAAGCCTTCTTCATTCTTGTCAACTCCTTTCTTGTTTTGAGTTTAGTTTCAAGAGTCTTCATGTTTTCTAATCTTTGGTAATAGCCATTCTAGTTTCTCTTTTAATATACATACTTGTTTATTTATATTTTATTACCTTTCTTTGAATGAAGACTCACTTGTCTGAATTGCTTTTTCATCGAGTTCTTATCCTTGACACGCTGTATATGTTGATGATCTTAATCTAGTGGGTACTACATCTATATCTGTTACAGCTACAAATCTACTTATACGTGAATTTGAAATGAAAATGCTAAGAAAAATAACTTTCTGCATTGGTCTTCAAATTATGCATCTAATAGATGGTAGCATTTTTCTCTGCCAATCAATGTATATTAGATGAATCTTTCGAAGATTTAATATGATTGATGCTTATCTATTGTCTACACCAATGGTTGGACGTGGTCGTGATGGTCATGATCCATATCGTTCATGCGAGGAGGAGGAGGAAATATTGAGAGACCAATATCCATACCTCACAACGGTTGGAGCACTTTTATATTTAGCTACATCTACAAGACCAAATATTATATTTGTAGTTAGTGTTCTTGCAAGACATATTGCACGTCCAACACTACGACATTGGAATGGCATCAAACATTTATTACGTTATTCAAAAGGTATTGAAGACTTGGGATTATACTACACACAATCCACAGATCCAAAATTGATTGGATATTGTGATGTAGGATATAAATCTGATATTGCAACAACTAAATCTCAAACAAGATATGTATTCTTAAGACATAGAACTGGAATATCATGAAAATCAGTGAAACAAACAATAACTGCAACTTCATCCAACCATGCAGAAATTATTGCCTTACATGAAGTATCTCGAGAATGTATTTGGTTGCAATCAATTGATAAATTCATTCAAACAACCTGTGGATTTTCATAAGATGATTCTCCAACTATCTTGCATGAAAATAATAGTACTTATATTACACAGATACAAGTTGGTTTCATTAAAGGCGACATGACAAAGTATATTGATCCAAAGTATTTTAATTATACCCATGACTTGATTACTGATCAAGCACTTATAATTAAGAAAATTGAATCTACAAATAACCTTGCTAATGTCTTCACCAAAGCTCTCCCATTAAGCAACCATCGTCGACTTACTTATGACATTGATATGTGGCAATTTGCTCTTCTTGAATAAGAAAATTAATGAACTCTTTAAATAATTAAAGAAAATAATGTACTCTTTTTCCTTCATCTATGGTTTTGTCCTTAAATAAAATAAAATTTTCCTAAATAAGATTTTAATGAGACAACAATTGTTGATCTTGCAAGATCATAAAAAAATATAGATCATAATTCTATACAAATTTTATATTATGTAAATATTATGATGAGTGAGGAAGAGTGTTGAAATCATTAAATATAGCCAACATTCTCCACAATATTTATTGTAAAATACAATAAATACTATAGCTATAATATTTAGAGTCTAATGGAAAAGTACTGTTTATCCTCTCCTCTTTTCCTCTTCTTGTGTACAAGACACAACCAGATCAATAGTTTTTTGTGTGTGAAGCTCTCTCTCCTTAGAAACCCTCTTGTGTGTGTATGACTTACTATTACTCTTTCTAAACATTCTCAACAGTTCTCATGGGAATAGATCCAGACTACATCTTTTGGATTTATTGTCGAATTGCCGCAGTGACGATATGGTTTTATGGTTACAACGGCCCTAAACCCGGTGGCTTACATCCGATAATTGCGGAGGCGAAAGGGTGCTAGATCCGATTTCTACGGGTTCTCTCATAGTGATCGATTCTTAAGAATTTTTGCAGTGTGATTGCCAAAATCGTATCATACATCTCTTGGGGAGTATAATGCACTAGTTTCTACCCATTTTGGCAGTATGGACGAGATTCGAGTAACTGGCGGGGTTAGAGCACGGACCAGTAGTGACAACACTGTTGTCCGCGACACTGACGCGGGACCGAGGAATCTTAGTGTAGAACACAACACAAATAGATATCCATAGATAGTGAATGCCACCACAGATAGATATCCATTGCGTAGTCACCAGTCTAAACCACATCCCACCGCAAGCCAGTCGGAGAGACGGAGCACAAGTCGCACGAAAGGCGCCGACCGGACACAGCGCGCGGTGGCCTCAACAAAACGTCGAGCAGGCGCAACAGGGGAGCACAAGGGACAAGTCAACATCGAACAACATGCTGATCCTAGAAACCAAAGCATGGGCTATCGGCGATCAAGGACGTCTCTTCTTCTTCGCCCTTACCCCTCCATGCGAACTACCGCTAGACTTCATCACCCCAACGGTGATTTCAGAAACATTAACACAACACACCGATACATCCACTCACAATGACAATGGGAACGCGCGCATCCAGGAAGCACGTTAACCTCAATAATGGAACCGATTTCTCTCGCCTCCTTGAACGTTCGATGCTTGGGCCGTGGACTAGCTGGCGTCAGGAAAAGACGCAAGATGAAGGAGTTATTTGCGAGAGTAACCCCCAGGCCCGACATCCTCTTTCTGCAAGAACACAAATATTCACTCGAGGAATGTCAAATCAGAGCACAAAAAGTGGACTTCCTCCGCTATACCTCTCGATGGAGTGATACGAGGTACTCAGCCGCCCGTGACTCTTTCACAGGCGGCATAGGCATGCTACTATCAAAAAAGCTGGCTGAACAAATCTGTGAACATGGGGTTATAGACTCTGGCCGAGCTCAATATGTGACACTCCAACTCTCACACAACCTCAAGCTAGGCATCATTAATGTCTACGGTTACAATGACACAGGCAGTAGGGCAAGCCTATGGAAACGCATGCGACGACACCCGCTCCCCCAGCACACTACATAATGGCGGGAGACTTTAACTGTATCGAACAGATTTCCGACAAACAAGGTGGAGCTGCCACCACCGGCCGGGGTCAGAACGAAATCACGGCATGGAACGACCTTACACTTTTCCTAGAACTCTCCGATTGTTTTCTCAATGGGCATTTCAGGAAAGTTGGCAACAAATTATTTACTTGGGATAACGGTCGCCAAGCCCCACAAATGGTCTGTTCCTGCATAGACAGGATTTACCTCCCAACCGCGATACACCATCTGGGAGGCCTCACGGGCATATGGAGCTCAATGCCCCATATATCCGATCATGCTCCCATTTTCGTCAAACTAAATGCGGATCGACCACCACCACCTAAACCAATTAGATTCAACACCCACCTTCTGAAAATTCCGGAAAGTCGAACTCTCCTCCTGCAAACCTGGCAACAAACAATCAGGAAATATTCTACCCAAAACAGGAACAACCGCGTTGCGGCGGCTATCCAAGCTGTCAAAGTAGTCAGCGATTGGGAAACGAAAACGAAAAGGAGGAAGAAAGATTGGTCTACTGAATTCGAGAACCAATTCTCAGCAGTCTATGAGGCTGAGATCACGCTCCAGAATCAATGGAATGATGCAGAAGCCCGAAACAAACTGGATGTAGCCCAAAGCAACCTACAACGGCTCCGACAAGGGAAAATGGAAAAGAAATATGATCATAAACTCGCCAACTGGATCCGGGTCGGGAATAGATGCAGCAAGGAATTCTTCGAACTGCATAGTGGTCAACGCCGATCCACGATCCTTAAGGCGCAAAATGCTAACGGACGCATACTCACCGACCCCATCGCTATTTGCGCATACGTCGACAACTATTACACTTCCCTGTATGCAAAAGACAACAATTGAACACAACGACTCAGTCCAAAGTGAATGCTTCCGTAGCGTCCCACGGAAGATCTCGGAGACACAAAATACACGCATAACCCGGCCGCTAACTCTGTCGGAAGTTCGACATGCCAAACAAGCCATACCTGCCGACCGCGCCACAGGTCCCGACGGAATCCCGGCGGAATTCTACCACGAATTCTTAACTGAAATTTCGACGGATCTCTTCGAACTCTTCATAGAAATCTTCAACTCCCACGAACTTAACCGGGAGTTGAACACGAGCAAGATCGTACTTCTACCCAAGCCGGGCGACCTCACCCTCGTAACCAACTTAAGACCGATCTCACTTCTTGACTATGTTTACAAGGTTTATGCTAAACTACTAGCAACCCGAATACAAGAGTTACTCCCTTTGTGGATCCGCACCACCCAAACCGCCTTTGTGCCAGGCAGATCAATCTTTGATAACATCTATACTGCATACGAAGCAATGCACTGGGCCGAACAAAGCCAATAAGAACTCATCCTCCTCCTATTAGACTTCGAAAAAGCCTACGACAGAGTTGGATTTTCCTGCGAGAAACACTTCTCCACATCGGTTTTGACAAACGATGGGTCGACCTAGTGATGACCCTCTATGCTAATGCCTCATCAACGGTCTGTCTCAATGGGAAACTGGGAACAAATTTCGCCTTTGAGCGATTCGTAAGGTGGGGCTGCCCCCTGGCGCCATACCTGACCTTTTTGTTGGGGATGTACTCAGATATATGTTATACGATAGAACCCGCAACATCGAAGGACTTAAACTACCGGATGACACATTCGTCACAAACCTAATGTTCGTCGATGACTCGGCACTATATTCTATCTAGATAACTAATCAATATCTGAATGACATTACAAACTCCATCTAAATGGACCCATCTGATAACTATAAGGAAAAGGATTATTATCAACTCAGGCTACGGATTCAAAAGATACTGGTAACGAAAGCACCTAAGAACAGTTATAAAGTGGGAACATAACATTACTATCATGCCTGCGACAAGGAGCGGAGCAACTCTGTTGTAGCTGAAACTATTTTAGCGGCAATCAATTACATTTGATTGAGAGCATGAGTTCATTGCCTTCTGAAAATGTAAAATAGTATAAATTTCAAATTGAGCAGTGATAAAATCTTCACAGCGATCACTTCGAGCCAAAGACTTTGAATCATACTGCTGGTTTCGTCAAAGTATCTCTGCCTTCATTCAGGGTGCTATCTCTTCTTAGACTACCGCAATCAGAATCACAGGGAAAAATTAATTATCATTATTGAGGTTGGCTTGCTGGCTGCAGGTATCGCCAATAAGCTTGTGCACGTGAATCCTTGAGATATAGGAATGCCTAAGCTAATGACCATGCAAGACAGTGATCAGAAGAAAGACCGTCCCGTTCCAGGCATGATAATCTCATTAGATATTTCGTGACTAGAGATTAAGACACAGAAACTCTAGTGCATGCTTCTAGAACCCGCAAACATGACATGTGAGGTAGTAACCTCCACACAAGAGTTTGACAATTGCGTTACAGAGACCTCTCACTTGGGTACGTTTTTTAAGGGACTCAAAATCTAACCCTAAAACACCTTCTGCTATGAACAAAGATAGGAAAGCACTCTGCAACAAAGCCAGTATTTCGCAATAGCAGTCTGCCTGCCTGTGGACAGAAATCCTGGCAAGTCCAATACACGTTGACACTCCCCAGATCATCATCTCCGACACCTTGCTCCATCTCACAAGTCTTCCTCACTCCTGCTTCACCGACGATTTCTCTGCTTCTACACTAACATCCGCCCTGCCAAGCACCGTGATACCCGCAACAATCAAAGCAGCACCCAGCAGCCACTGCAAATGCGCAGCTTCACCGAAGAGGAGAAATCCCGCCAAACCGGAGAGAAGAAAGTTGGCTGCGAAATTGAACACCGTCGCTTGCAGGGACGACAAACGGTTAAGGCTTCGAACATATAGCGTCCACATCATCACGTTGCAAGCAACGACGCATATGTAACACGCGAGTCGAAGCTCCCATCGCACCTCCGGCGATGCAACCTTGGCGAAGATGGCAGCCATGGCTGCTGCACCGCCAGCAGCCGCGGCCAGCACCCTGCCTCCCGCGACGCGACTCCCCCTCCGAGCCATGGCTTCAATCTCAATAACAACAACACACTTCTAGTGCAACAACACTCACACATCCAGCGAGAGAGCGAGCGAGAGAGCTTGTTCCAATGCGAAGATGGAAGAAGGAACACGAAGCTTTCTAATGCTCACAATCCATAAACAAAACAAAGCGGGTAATGTTGGTGGAAACATTGAAGATTAGGATTTGGGGTTGGAAATTCAGGGTGTTGCTGATTTCATCACAATTATTCCAGTCTACCATTTGCATTGCTTAGTATAGTGCATTTTATGGAACTCTCAAATATACATTTGTGAAGACTATACATTTGATTTATTGTAGCTTGCATTAGCAATGTTGAATAAAGTGCATTAGTTTAGGGTAGCTTGTGGTGGCATTAGCAAAAAACTAGGACAATATGTGGTAGATAGCAAGTTGTGGTGGCATTAGCAAAAATTATCATGACATTAGTACCATACAAAATTATTGATTTATAATATTGCTCACATGTAATAACTTCTTAGAAAAATTTGATGTTATGTGAATGTTATGTGAACAACATTAGTATTCAACAAACACAAGAAAAGAAAAGAATTTTAAATAATTAATTAAAGAAACTAATAATTAGGTTTGATAAATAATTTAATAACTATAAAAAAAGAATTGTTAAATCAATCCATGCATTTGTTAAATCAACTCGCCTATCATTATTTCTCCCTCATCTTTCCTCCTCCTTCCAACCTTTGACAAATAGATTCTTAAATTCTTTTTCATCATCATAACTATCATCAAAAAATAGATTGGTACAATTATGGTTATAAGAAAATAAAATTTGTACAATCATAGAAACAATAAGGATAACAATGCTTTATAATCAATTATAACAACATCCTACAAAATCTACATAAATTTGATTTTTCCATCTTTATTGCTGCTCAAAGCAAAAGTGGAGCACATTTGTCCATTTGGTTATAGATTCATTTGTGTATATGCCTTCTTTACCTCACTTTGAGAGGACTCTAGCCTAGTAATTTTCCAACCTTCTTCATACTCTCCAAGGAAGAAAGGAAGGAAGAACTATCTAATTTGGATTGCTTTTGTTCTAAAATAAAATAAAAAAAACTTGCTTAACATGCATCCACCATTAGAGGCATTGTTTGAAACATGCAAAAACATGAAATAAAGTGTAGATACTTTTGTCAATGTTCAATTATATATATAATTATTAGATGTTATTTTAATACGCCACTTATTGTTTTCCAATGCAATAAGAACCATATCTATAGTGAGCCACATATAAACTTGACACATTAACATAACATATGAATGCAATTGATAGGCTACCCACTTGAGTTGTATGCACAATGTCTGTAAATTAATAAATGCTAGCAATTATCCAATTGAAATAGAAAACACAACTAAGAGTTTTTGGTATTATTGATAGGTCATTCTATTGTTCATTGACTTTAGCTAACACAAAAAGAAATCACCACTCAAATGCTTATCACATGGATAGCACCAAAAAAATGTTGTAATTGTATTACGTTAAGGAGACTCCACAAGTTACATAATTATTCATACTATCTATAATAAGTAATAATGTCTTTGTAAAATTAACATTCATAGCCATTCTTTTATTCTCTTTTTTTATAGAGAATCTCCATGTTGTTGGATATCAATATGTATACACATGTGATGCAACAAATAAAATATTTTTTTATTTTTTATTTATTTATTTATTTTAATATATTGTAAATTTGTTGAGCTCACAAAGAGATATTTATATAACATTGTTATGGCTCATACATAAAAAATCAATAAGTTCAAGATGCCCATATTGCATGTTATAGGAGTGATGATTTTTAGCATATCTATTATTGTTGCGATTGCCATTTTCTAAGAAAAGACCAAGCCATTCTTTTGTTAGGCTTTAATACAACTTATTCAGTTGTATGAAAGCCTTCAATCCTTTACCATTGGTACAAACTAAGATTTTGCAATAATAAATGATATTGATAATGTCTTTCTAATATCTATTCTACTGCTTTATATTTGATATAATCAAAAGAATATCTTGGAAAATTTCAAGAAATTCTTTTCTTCTAAATTAGATTAGTGTCATCAATATATCTTTTAAAGAGGCTTTTAACAAGAAATGGGCCAATGTCTACATTAAATTTGTACATATGTTTATCAATGAGGTTGTTGAGTACCTAAAAAAATTTAGATTCTATCCAAAGAATGATTTGTAAAAGCTTGGACAAATAGGACTCTACCTCAAGAGTGTAATCACATTACATGCAAAAGGTCAAAATTTGACACTAAAATCATACATTAAAATTTCTACCAAGAATCTTTGAAATGTTTAAATTTTCATCTCTTATTTTTTCATTAATATAACCAAAGACATCAAAGAGCAAGAGAATTCAAAATACTTTCATATATGTCACCAACATAATATTTGTTTTTATAGAAGTGTTATAAAATGAGTATTAATACATGCTTTGGACATTGTATTTGAAAATTTTTAAATTTCCACAATATCTTTGAGTCCTTATAATTCTCTCTATTTAGATGCATTGACAATCATAATGAATATCCTATATAAGCATTGTATTTGAAGCATGCTAAGGAATAGTGAGATTTTGATGATTTAAAATTTCTAATTTGAACATCTTTTAATCAATATCCTTCTTCTAATAACTAAATTAACACTATAATATATGTTAGCTAGTTTTAACAATCTAAATTCTATTTTTGAAGTGATTGATTGCATATATGAGCTATTAACATCCCATAAACAACAAAAGATATACAAACAACTTTTGGAACTAATATCATTGACCATGATATTCAAGAATTTAGCAATTAGCTACTCAAAAGGTTGTTGTTACAACTCAATAAATTGTTTGAGATAATTTTGTGCCCATTTGGAAGAATCTATGAAACATATATCTTTGCAATTTGAAATTTTCAAATCAACAATTGTAAATGTATGTCTTTGCAAGAATTGCAAAGACACTCAATACAATGTTTGTATATGTCTTTTTCAAGTTTTTTTTATTTCACAATTGTTTATATCTAAATTATAAATAAATTTAGACTTAAAGTATTAATTTCACAAGCTAATTTAAATAAAATTTGGATTTGTAGTAATAATTTGGCAAATTGATCTAAATACAATTTGAATTTATAGTGCTAATCTAACAAATTAATTTGAATAATATTTAGATTTGTTATACTAATTTGTATAAATATTAGGTTTATTATGCTAATATGGTAAGCTAATTTAGGTTTATTGAGATACTACAACCTATATATTTTATGAATTTTTGTTGCCATTGTATTAATAAAGAAAGCCTATAAAAAATAAGAAGCAATCATTAGTAAATTTATAATAGTTAAAAATAAGAAAATTAATTCTATGATTTTAGTAAATTTTACAATATCCAAAAATAAATACATACTTTTCTAAAATATATTATTGACATTGAGATTAATAAAAAAATATAACACCTTATAGAAAAAAAATGATAGACAAAAGAATAACATATTTTTTTGGTCCATGACATGTGGCTTCAAAGCATGAGGTAGTTTTATAGTAAGAATAAGATTTAAGCCTTATTGTACAAATGTTGTTATAGAAGTTTTTTTTCTTTGAAAGGAATTAATACATAGATATTTTAACTACAAAATAATTAATTAATGCCTATTGAAATAAAATTGAAGCAAATTATGTAATAAGACTTTTGTACTTGGATAGCATCTAGGCATGTAAATGTCAGTAGACACAATACAAGTGCATCCAAGTATCACAAAGTAAAAATTGTGATAATAGCCTCCTTTATTTACTCATCTATCTATTGAAACTATCCAACTTAGCTCTAACATCTGATTTTATATCTTAAATATTAACAAAATTTTTAATACTAATATATGAATATAATATCTTGTTAATATTATTAGTGTGAAGGTAAATCTGAGTTATTGTCGAGGACATGAATCTCAAAGAAAGAAAATCCTCAATACACTCTTGTATCACTAAAAGGAACTAGAAAATCACTCAAAGATGATATAATTTTGAACTAGAATGGCTATTGCCAAAAACAAGAAGACTAGAAAGTCTTGAAACAAGACTAAAGACTAAAAAGGCATTGAAAAGAGTGAAGAAGGCTTCACTCTTGCCTCCATATATACTCTCTAACTAAGAGCTATGTGGCAATATTCTATAGGACTTCTAATATGTATTGACTTTATTAGCTACATATCTTAACTTGTAAGGCAAGTTATCTATGTATGTGCCACATAGTTAAATTGTTCTACAAGCTACTATATAGAATTAACTTATTCCACAAGCTACCAACATGTGGTTAATTTGTTGGCCAAGTTTCTATCCTACAAATACATCTAAAGTCAAAATTGTGTTTATGAAGCTTCTAAGAAGCTTCTCTAAAAGTCTTTAAGAAATTAATTTATATTTATCTACTTTTATTTAATCATATAAGTAACTATTGGAATAAATATATATGTCCGTGACATTACCTTTCTTTCTAGGGACAAGTTCCATGAGGAGTGGTCATCATCTTTTATAGACCTTTGTAATTCTTTATCTTGATTTTGATAGATATTATCAATGAAAGGCCTTAACATTCTTTGCTGTATTTACAAGATTCTTTATTGGCTCTCATGTGTATTTGCTAATAATATATTTATGTCAATGAACAAGATATTCTAACCTATTTTAGCGTCGCCTTGAATCTAAGACTTCTTCTACCTCAAACTCTTGATTATTATCCACTTCTATAGGAAGAGGTGGCATTTGTCTTCTTCTCAAGATATTCACTATCTTATACGGCTCAAGAAGGGATACTTGAAATATAAGGTGGATCTTCATAGACTTTAATAGATATAATTGATAAGCAATAAGATAGATTTGTTTACAAATAGGAAAAGGTCTCAGCCTATAATAGTCCAACTTATCACAAAGATGAGTAAACTTGACATTACGACAAAGTAACCATACTTTATCATCCACATTGAATTGTGGTTGTTCCTTGTGATAGGCATCCATGTAGGTCTTTTGTTATTCTTGAGCTTCTTTTAATTGTATCTTTATTGTTGCATGTAGCTCTGACAAATGATTTTCTAAGTCTTTTGCTGCAGGATTATCAACTTTTG